AATGAATGATAAGTATTTTTTTCAGAAATTCAAAAGTACCTAAAATAAAAAGTAGTAAATAAGTTAAGAATACGAAATAAGTAAAATTTCAATTATTAATTTTTGTTACAAAATTGCAATTTATTAATACAGATAAGATTAAAACCTGCAGATGCCAATTTTGTTAACCACTAAAATTACATTAATTTTATAAATACAATAAAAATTACGACTGAGATAAATACATAAATTTTGCATTATTTCTGCTAATTTTATTTTTGTTAGAAAAATTAATTCTAACTGTGCATTACTTTATGCTTGACATGTGTTACACTCACACCATTTACCTTTTATAATGATAATAAAAATTTAATAAAGTTATTTTCAAAAGTATATTTTTATAAGTTTAATTCAACGCAACAAATTGTTTGTGTTTCTGCCTTATTACTGCTAGGCTACGAGTTAGATGCTAGGCTACGAGTTAGATATTACAAGTTTATAAGGTTTATTTCTAACTTTTATTACCTAATGTTGTTACCTAATAGGTATCAAATTCAAACTTCTTGGAAGAACTGAAAATGATTGATAAAGATCGAAGTAAAAATTGCTATGGTGTCGAAGTTCAAGTTATAAAAAATAAGCAAATAATAATATTATTTTTACCAATAGCCCGTGTTGCAATTACTACCCAGTGCTTATGGCAATTTACTGGTTTGTTTTTATGATTTTCAACTGAAAACTAAAAATTACTATAATTAAAATAAAATTGAATTGTTAAAATTCTCCTAGTAACTTTCATTAATTAATAACATTTTAGTAATGTAGTGTTTCTTTAGATCAAATGTTAGTTACTGAGCATTTAAATTTTTAATTTCAAGTTAATTTTTTATTTTCATTTTGTCAAATTAGATTAAATTTGTTTTCTTTTCTATTCAAATATTTATGACATTCCTAATACTTGATTTAAATACGAAAATATTTCTAAATTATACAGTAATACTATAACTTCTTATTAAAAACCTAACAAATTTCCATCGAGGAAACAAATTGAATTCAGTTTGGTGCATGCATTATGCGAAATGACTTTGAAACATTTTTAGATAATTTATTATTTTTGATATTTGATTTTTCTAAATCCAGGCAAAATATTTTACTGTAATCCCGAAAGAGAATCGTTATTATATTATTACGGTACAATGGGCACATGCAGTCATATACTACAGTTTGGCTTGGGTTTCAGCGTATTTTGTGCCTTAAATAACAACTATTATGATCGAATAAGATTCAGATCAGCTGACAAAAAAATTGAAATTGCACGCAAAAAGCAAGTTAATTCATTTCTAATATTGCTCATTTGATTTCTTTAAAATTCCATTTCATATATTAGATAATAATATTTTATCATAAATATCCTTTTCACTTATTAATTAATTACACACGTCGATATTATGTAATGAAAAAGTATGCATTCAAAGTATATAAATAAATTATTTAGCAAATACAAATAAAAAAGTTGGAAAAAAATAAAAAATAATTATTTAAATGGGCTAAAAATTTTTCGTAATTAAACTTGTATGCGTATTCTCAATATTAATTAATGAGCTTAATATGTTTGACAGCTTAGATTGCTGTAATAATTTTTTTAATAAATAACCAAAAGTATTTTGCATTTCAAAAAATTGAAATTTTCGTAGCGTTTAAAAGTATTCAAGTGTTCTTTCGATAAAGTAATCATTTTATTTTTCGGCAATTTTTAATCTATTAATTCTAGAAAACTTAAAAAAATTTAGTAATTTGAAATGAAATTTTGTAATTCATGTGCTTTCTTTTTTTAAGAGGAGACTTTAGTAAATTATGACGCAGTAGAAATAACCTTATTGACGTGTCTTAAAAATAAGTATTCAAAATATACGTGAATTTTGTATTGTCATTTTTAAAAGGCTTTCTTTTTGAACACAACAAAATTAATAATATATTTTTTACTCATAAATAAATAAACGAGTTTAGATTATATGCTTCTGTAGCGTTATTTGCTCGGAAGTTAAGCGATGTTATTTTTGTTGCTGATAACACTTCGTATAAATCTGGTCATTTTGATATTAATGTTGTTAGTGGTGATTATTGGTACCAATTATTTTACAAAAGTTTGTTTATTTTTGTTTATAAGTAATATTAAATAAAAAGTCACTTATAAATTTTTGGCCTAATTAATCTTTCTAAAATTTACTTTTCATAAGGTAATTACTTTTTATAACAAAATTATTTGCTATCACTTCCTATTCATCAATAATATTTCCCACTGATTCATTTGCCACATTTTTTATTACAAATTTTTAATCAACGAAAAAAAATTAAAGTAATAATTAAAAGTTGTTTCCTACAAAATGACTTCTTTGGTCGAAAAAATTTATTAATAATAATTCTTACTTCAGAAGTCTTTGCCCGTCCTTCATTTAATTTTCATCAAAGTTCCCATAATTTCAAGTAAATTAATAAGAAATAGATTTACACGTTTAAACGTTGAAGACTTTTTTGCGTAACTTAGATTTACTCCAATTTTAAAGACATTTATTTGCTCAAAGTTATATTGTTTTCAACAAATTGACACTTTTTTTGTATTATTGGAAATAATAATATTACTGAACAGCTGCAAAAAAACAGTGATAATAAGTTTATTTTAGTTTAGATATAG